CGACGAACAAGCAATTATTCGCGCAAGATTCAGCGAGTCTCTTGCTGAAACAAAATCGCGAGAGAGAACGAATCGACGGCAACGATACTAACGAGACCACGATATCGATGAATACCAGCAACGAAACAACAACCAGACACAAAGACGACTCGGGCTTCGTAGAGTCGAGGGTGAAATCGTTGGCCAGTGAGAACGGTGACAAGATAAAAAATCAAACGTTGCCTTTCGGCAACGATACGCTTCTTCGGAAGTCGATTAAAGCGGTAATTAATAAGTTTGCGAACAACGACTACTACTACTCGTCTGAAACGAGCGAAAACATGGATCGGGAAACGGTAGATTCGACAGGCAATGACTTACTCGAAGAAATTGTCAAGATACCGAACTTGAAAGGCATCCTGTCCATGCCACCGATCGAACACACGATCCTCGACAAGGTGAAAAATCTTTTAGCGAAACTGACCGGCGTCGCTAGATCGAATTTCGACGATGACTGGACCACCAACGTAATCAAGAGTAATTTGCGGAACACGATGGCAGCCGCAGCCGTCTCTGATGCAGAACTTCCACCGATGACCGTTAAAGAACGTCAATTCAAGAACGGGAAATGGATTACGAGTCTGGTCACGTTGGAGCCCACGTCGAACGAGGAACCACCAACTGCGACCGATTTCGCTAAACTACAAGCCACCGTTAAAAGTCTTGTTCGCGATCCAGCCATCGACTTGCGAGCAGCCAAGCAACCCGCTGTTCGGAACATGATTGTCCAAAGCGTTCAGACTATCCTTCAGCCGAAAAATTCGACGAACGACCAACTGTTGAACGAGTCCGTCATCCGGGCCACCTTGGACGATCAACTGACCCTGATGGAAATCGAACACGCGGAGATTACGACAACGGAAACCGCGCAACAGCCCGAATCGATCGATCCATCGAATATCGATAACTTTCACAAGATATTCACCAACTTGAACATTTACGAGTCAACTTCTACCACGTCTGTCTTAACAAACACGGAGGAAACTGTCGAACAAGAATTGTCCGATACATCAAACATTACCGACACGATGCAGATGAAACACGTCGATGCCGATGCCGATGCCGATGCCGATGCCGATGCCGATGCCGATGCCGATGCCGACGCCGACGCCGACGCCGACGCTGACGTGTCCAAGTTTAACGGGGAAGATACCCCGGCTACGCGAGTTACGAGTTCCTATCCGAAAAACGTTTGCTTCGAAGATTCCGAAGAGAAGAAACTTGGCCTCGTTACGCCTTCGAATTACAATTTGGTGGGAGCGACAAGAATACTCAAACCCTCGAAATTTGAACAGAACGAAAGAGAACAAAGTGTCGAAAGCCACGAAGCGGTTTCGAAGCCAACGATGTTCAACATTGTACCTGCTAGATCGAGAAATCAAGATGAATCTTTGAGGGTGTTTTCTACGGAAAGTAACGATGCTGCGAGCCCAGACGAATACGATAGTACAGAAGGGATACCGGGAATGGAAATAAATTTCAGCTCGAGTACACAAGTTTACCCGGATTACGGTTCTCCTGAACACGATTACGCCTATTTGGGAAAAATGACCGTAAAGAAGAATAATTTCACGGACGACGCCGACGTGCCGAGTCTTCGCAACTCGGATTTGTATTACGTCGGTGATGGTGTAAAACTACCATTGGAGATAAGAAAACTGAACGATGGTTCGTACGCCTTGTCAATCTCTAGGAAAGTGTGCGAACATCTATTAAACAAAGAGTGTCCCTGTTGCGTACCCCTAGAGGGTAACGTTGTTCGCGCTGTAAGAAACAATCCAGACACAAACAATACCACCGCGGACAAACTAATCGAAACGATTGCAAAGAGAAAGACCAAGAGGAACATTTCGAAACGTGAATCGACCAAAGCTAGTTTTTCCAACGAACAAAGAGGACGCGATTCGGTTGTCGACAGTATACATATTCTCTCGATGCCCGTCGAGACTTTTGCAAAAAAATACAATCTTTCCCTGAGCTTGGAAAAAGTCCAAGCTCCGTGGACTCTTGACGCAAAAGAGAAAATCACCAACGATCGAAACGACCAAGATAACGCTGACAAGGATCTCATTCGGGATTTGTTATCCGTTCATGCGGTTTCCGGAAACTACAAATCACAGGAAACACCTGTGATTACGCAACAGAAGGAAAATGCTAACTCGTACAAAAACGTCGATGCAGCCAATTATGAGTACCAACGACAGAAACAGATCAAGTTTGATAAATTCCGTTATCAGCGTAACATCGACGAGACCGTAAATCAACGAGTCGAAATAGTGACGAACGTGTTAAACTGGTTAAGAGACATGATCTTAACCACCACTTCTGACCTCTGAACAATTCTTTTGCAGTATCGAATATTTATTATTTACTAATATTGTATAATAAATCGTAACTATCTTCCGACTAATCAGTTTGCCAAGTTCAACGAGAAATTGACGAATCATCGCTTCAATTGAACCCGTTCATTTCCCTTCCCTTCGATCCTAGTCGCCTACTTTTCCTTTCTTTATTCAATTTACATTTTATAAAATACGTCGCAAGGTTCACAAGGGTAAATAAGACTACGTTCGGTATTCGATAAGGTAAAGTACCTTAACGACACGAATTACTGTTTATCTATTAATACAGTTCAACGGTAACAAAATATATAAAGCAATTCAAGTGAAATGTGCCCTTTAAACATTTGTCTATTATTATAAACTACGGCAGTATATACCATGATATAAATAAATGAAATAAATAAATGTTGAAATTGTATAGATCGGATCGATCGCCATCTAGCGGTGAATAAATCGAACTAAAATTCCGACCTCCGATCAGCGCACCACCGGGAAAACGCTCAAGCTTGTCCTCGAATAATTCCTTTTTTCACCGTTAGATGGCGCCATTTACCTTGTGTTTACCGGCACCTGTCGGTACATTACCATAACGTCGATAAACCATGTAGGGATTCTACATAAAAGAATAACGAACACGAACATAAAACCGAACTTTATCAACGAAATAATTTATTTCAACAAGAACAATTAAATAAGATTAACAATTTGAATATAAGGAGCTTTAAGGAGAAAATTACTTTTCTTTTATACATATACAGCAGACGTAAAATAACTAATTAAATGACACCTAGAAATTGAAGACAGATTAAAACAAATTTGTCTAGAAACTCGATGTACCATTTACTCGAATCAATAAAACTATTTCAAATGGCACTTCTCTTTGTTTAAAATTACTTGAAAATTTCCAGATAACTACCCCAACGTCTTATCATTGCATCGAATATTTTTATCCTCAAAGTGTTCAGATTGTTATCAGATTGTTATCTTGGTTGTTCTTTATCGCCCGTATGAGTCACGTGTAATAATGACGTAATACCGATAGTTGCCATTACCACGGACGGAAGGTTTACGAATCGAGCGAGATAGTTTGGCAAAGTTTGGTTATGTTTGGTTGGTGCGAAGGACGAATGCACACTTCGTATACTCTTTTTGACGTTTCTGTCAACATTGGAAAAAAATGGGCTTGTTTGGAAAATCCCAGGAAAAGAATCCAAAAGAAATGGTTGGAAAGTCGCGATCAACTCTATCGAATGATCTCAATGTTTATACAGAATTTTATTTCAGGTTCAAGAATGGACACATAAATTAAGGAAAGAAGGTTTTCAACTCGATAGACAGGTTAGAGGTAAGTCGCTTAAAAATAATACATTGTATACATTCTAAAATCGATGATACTACTTATACGCAGCAATTCAGCGAGAAGAAGAAAAAGTGAAACGTTCTTTGAAGGAAGCAGCAAAGAAAGGTGACAAGGATGTCTGTAAAATTCTCGCAAAAGAGATAATACGTGCACGCAAAGCTTGTAACAAAATTTATACATCGAAAGCTCATATGAATTCTGTATCCTTACAAATGAAAAATCAACTGGCAACGATCAGAGTCGCAGGTTCGGTTTCGAAATCTACAGAAGTGATGCAAGCGATGCAGTCGTTGGTCAGAGTACCCGAAGTAGCTGCCACGATGAGAGAATTGTCAAAAGAAATGATGAAGGCTGGTATCATCGAAGAAATGTTAGACGAAACGATGGATTCTATCGAAGATTCGGAGGAAGTGGAAGACGAAGCGGATGAAGAAATAGATAAAGTAACCTTTACTTTGATGCGCGAAATCAAAGATATTCGTAGAATTCGACAAATGCCGAATGTGTTAAGGAATTAATCGATTTATGTTTCAGATCTTGTGGGAAGTCACCGCAGGTCAGTTAGGTACAGCACCCGCGGTTGTTACGGAAACTCCCGGTTCGGTAGTAGCGTCTACATCTGCCGACGAAGAACACGAAGAGACAAATGACAAGGAGCTTGAAGAAATGAAGATGAGACTACAAAGTCTCCGTAGTTAGCTGCGATATGTAAATAATTTATCGATACCAACTTTCAGTGTTAATATCAGCTTGATATATTTTAATAATATTTCTAGAAAATTTTCAAAACATGCTACACATTAAATAACCAAAAACAGCAGAGAAACATTCATTTTCTCTGCAGTTTTTCTATCCAGTTTTGGTAATCTATACGTAATCCGTAGGATACCGTTATATGTTTACTATCGACAAAGTCATAATTACAGAGAAGCTGGCTTCTTGATTATACTACATTGAAATATGTACTGCTTAATGTAATAATGATTGCAAAATCTTGTATTAATATGTATTATATGTAAACGATGATTCTGATTATCGACTCGATGGCTTTTCTATTTACACCTTTCGATTAAATTCAATTTATAAAAACGTATAAAAACTCGTGTTACGGTGCGGTAAACAGAGTACATAGGTTTATGCAGACAAGTTACTGCTTGTATGTATAAATCTATATTATTATTGACGAAGCAACTCGGTTCAGATGTTTGCTACTTTGGTATGTTTGACCAAATCACAACAAAATTATTACATATGTATATCGCATGAATAATTATGTAGAACATCCGCTTGGCATTTTGTGCAACTATACAGAATATCATGATTTTATTAATAAATTTACATTTTATAGCTTATTGTTAGATACGTAGCATAATTTTCTATCAAAAATGAATACAGCTAAGCAGAAATTAAACTACGGTATTAATTTACGGTAGATCCGATTGCTTCTGCAAAAGTTTCATAGACAAAGAATCGTTTAAATGTAGATAAAGATATTTCAAAACCGATACTTTGCTATCCTCGTGTACAATTAAACATTAACAACTACAATGTAAACAAAATCTAAGTATCTCCATTGCCGGATATGTCATTCAAGTCAATGAAATTGTCTCAGAATTTATGGTAAATAATTGTAATTCTTTTTGTTTAAATTTCATGCATATTAACTGAATAAATATTGGACATTGTGCGTTAAACGAAAATATATTTCATTGACAAAAGACAGATATTTGAACAAATTATTCTTATCTTATATCTCCGTAATTTTCCCATAAATATTCATTGTACGATAAATCTTTTTATAAATTTCCAAATGATTTTTCGTTGATTTTCAAAATAAACCGTCATTTTTTATCAATCTCGACAATTCTGCGCTTCTTACATTTAAACATGTACCTTTCGACAATTATGTAAAACAAATAACAAAATTTATCAAAGAATTTACTACAAATATCATTTGTACTCTACAAAACCTTTTCTTATTTTAACCTATTATTATCATACCTATCACCATTCTTTTATAAATATATGTATACCGCTTACTACACAGATATTGTACATCTACTTTTAGCCTTTCTCAGATTAAATGATACTTTAAAGTTGAATAAATTAATTAGGAATTGTATTAATTATACGTCTCAGAAGTCTTGTGTAAAAATATTGTGTTCTTTGGGATAAATGTACCTACAACGTTTCTATAGAGAAACTAATAAATTCTCAGACACATACGATAAACGAAAAGATTCGTTATAACAAATTTATACAGTAGACGAAAGCGTGATATTTATGTAGCATACAGAGACATTAAAAACCTATTTTTAGCATGTAAAAACATAAATTTAGAAAAAGTTGACATACAATACGTGTACCGTAAGGTTTCGAAATAATACAAATAATATATCTTACATGCTAGTATTTAAAAAGTATGTACCTGTTTGTTTTTAATATACATTCAGTTACAAATATACATATCCATTTAAAATATTTATATTCAACTATATATGTATACATCTTTACAAATACTATAATTTATTTATATCTCAACAAATTTACAAGCGATCAATTACCATATTTACTATCGAAAGTTTCATCCGTGATCTAGTTTTTCTAGGCAGTCTATGCATATGGGGTGCAAGTTTCCGCAAAAAATATCTAACTTCGCTTGTAATAGGGAAAATTGTTCTGCGCATTCTTCTTGAAGCTTTTTTACGTCGCACAAGTTTTTGTTGTTTCAAAGTCAAACATTCTTCCACTTCTTCGTCTGATGCTTCCAATGAATGCGGCAAAATAACTTTGCACGCTTCTAATCCTTTTGAATTCATTTTATGTTCCGTTTCTTCAGGAGAAATTGATAGAAATTCAACTAAATTTTTATCTGTATCTTCCTTGGATTGTTTCCTCACAGGTAGCGTAATCAATGCTTGACCATTTTTCATGTGCAGTTGTTTTTTATCGATGTCGCTGGACGTAGTAGGAATATGGGTGATTTTTGTTCTAGTTTGCTTTTTGTTAGCATTCAGCAGATTTTGTTGCTCTTGTTCTGGAAGATTTATCTTAATCAATAAACCTGGAGGAATGCTGGCTAAACTATGTACCGGTATAGGATCGCCCAAATTTGATATGTCAGCAGTAAATGGTAAAATCACTTTCTTTACGTTAGGTTGGATATTATTTGTAATACTTGATTTAATATTGTTTCCTACTGTTATAGGTTGAAGTTGATCCATGAATTGAACTTTCCAATTAGAATTAGGAGGAAGGGGTAATTTTCTCATCACACGATTTTCAATGTTATTAGAATCAGGCCTTGGAATGTTAATGAGTGTCGGCCTTTTAGACTTGCCACGTTTTTTTGCAAGAGGTGTAGGCTTATTATCTATCTTTGGTTTTTTGCTAGATACTAAAGGTCTTGGAAAATTTTGTTTTTTAATTCCCTTAGCCGTATCATTACAATTAGATTCCTCTATAATATCCTGTTCATCTTCGATTTGTTCTACAGGATTGATTGGGTTTACATGCGATACATCTTTTATAGTCGGAACTGCATCGCAAGGCCCTACTTTATGGAAATTCTGGCCTGTCTGAAAATGTTTGGAACAGAGAACTAATTTTCGTATTTGATTCGGAGACATTTTCAACAGATCCTCTCTTCCCAAAAACTGACACCATCTTAAACACCTTCCAATTTCATAAGCAGGGAAAGGGTGGAACTTGTATCTTTCCAATTTGTTCATAGGATCAGATCTTGATCTACCGCATGCGGCGCATGCTTGACTTTCTAAAACAGCAGGTGGTAAAGGATCTAATATTTTCTCTGCGGAACTATACGACTTTGGCTCGGATGTAACTTCCATGTTATACTGTTCAGATCCGTCTAATTGATCAGGATTGCGAATGTTGGGTACAGCATTGTCTACCAATCTGTTTTTATAACCAGGCAAAAATTGGGAACGGTCAAAGTGTTTTGAACAAATGTAACAAAACAAAATTTCTTTTCTCGTTAGTCTATAATACGAATCTACACCAACGAAATCGAGCCATTTAAGACATCGAAACTCTTCCCCAGGAAAATGGTGAAAAGTTGTACCGTCGTAATTTAAATCTGGTGGATCTCGTCGAGAACGACCACACAGTACACAGGTTATGTTGTACAAACTTTGTTTAGGATCGTAAATGGAAGGTACTGCTGTACCGTTCAATCTGTCGAAATATTCATTTAGAAAATCCTTTTGCTCAAAATGCTTCGAACAAACCATTCTTTGAAGTAATTGTTTTTTTGTAAGTTTGTACAAATCTTCGCGACAGCAGAATTCCAGCCACTTTCTGCATCTAGTTTCGTCATTAACGGGAAGCCCAAAAAACATGTACTCTTCCTCTCTATTGTTTGGATTCATACGCGAACGACCGCATACGGCACACGGGTGTGGCATTTTTCTGATTATTTTGTATTTCTGTGCTTTCGTCAAATCAACAATCTCATCGTGTCACAAGTCACAACTCACAGCACAGCTTGACAAAGGAGATTAATTAAAAATCAGAAATTCCGTTACGTCTTCACTACCCTGGCTGACAGCAAAATTTTCAAAAATATTCAAATTTAAATTATCTTCTCATTATGATTTTGTTCACGATATGATTTTATAGTGGTCGTGCAATACAGTTCAAAGATAAAGTACGATGAACCCCGTCATCCTTTTTTCATTTTCCCATATATCACAAATATTTAACGTATTTATGAAATATGTACACAACCGCTAAGGAAAGTGAAGAAATGAAAATTTACTTGAAACACTTTTCCTTTGAAACTGTGCGTTTGAAAAGTCACTTTCTTCACGCTTTACTGCACTTGTTGCGCTTTCCTTCAATTTCGTAAGAGGTTATGTTGCTTGTTATAGCGTCTGTATCGAACCTTTTGTAAAGTAAAAAACAGGAAACAGGTCCCCAACTTACAGTAGCGCTCTAGCTGCTAGTTGCTGCTAGTGGCTGCTAACAGTGGTTAGCAGTAGCACTGTACCAGTAACACTTGAATTTTATGATTGTATTAGTATAAACGTATATATATGTATAATACGTACGCATCACTAATCCGAGCTAACCTAACTAGTAAAACTAAACATTGTATCATTCCAGGGGACGGAAATAGGAAGACTCCTATTGTCAAAGTATTCCATTCATAATAGAAAAACTATACAAAATGGCAGAAAATTCTAACAATCCGTATGATATTAACGGACAGCATTTCAATCCCGATATGTATTTCCAGAAATTATTAAAAGTATATTTATTATTGTGCTCGAATTATTTTTTGTATATCAATTTGACAACCAACAAAACATTACTTTTGCTTTTATAGGAATGTACATTGAAACAAATTATGGATCACGAAGCTGAAATTATAAAAAATACCCAAACATTACACTCTGATATGCAAACATTAGTATATGAAAATTATAACAAGTTTATATCTGCAACCGATACTATTAGAAAGGTAAATAATACAAGTACTTTATGGCAAACTTGTTAATTTGTTTAATCGCTTAAATTATCTCCTGTTTAATGCGTAGATGAAAACTGATTTCAAAGAAATGGAAGATAGTATGGATTTATTGGCAAAAAATATGGATAGCATAACTACCTTTTCAGAACAAATTTCATCGACATTGCAAGGGACTAGACAACAAATTGCTAAACTATCTTCGGTTCACGCTCTGTTGAAAAAATTGCAATTCCTCTTCAAGCTGCCTGGTAATCTGAAAGATAGAATGAATGAAGAAAATTACGCGCAGGTTTATAACTAGTCCCATGTCATTTGTAACATACAGTTACAAATATAAAAGATATTTTTAATGTTTTTTCAGGCAGTACAAGATTATATTCACGCGCAACGCGTCTTAAATCAATACGGGAATATGCCTTCGTTCCAAGGAATACAAAAAGATTGCGAAGATATATTACACGAACTTAAATCGAGGCTGAGAATGCAGTTTCATAAAAGAGATTCATCGACTAAGTCTTTAGCTGAAAACGTAGATCTCCTACTACAATTAAAAGAACCGGCCGATTCTTTGTGCGCTGAATTTTTAACGCACGCAGATGGACGACTAACAGAACAGTTAGATATTTTGAAGGACATGTGCGAAAATGATATTATAGAATTTGTTGACACGGCTAGTTCTGGATTTCTTAGCGACTTGTGTCTAATTGTTGCATCTTACAATGATCTGTTTGTAAACAGACCACCTTTGGAAGACAACGAGTTTACCGATGATTTTGATACAAAAGCTCTTGCACGTTTAAGTAATTTTATCATGAAAAACATGAAAAAGTACTTTGACCTGATTGGGAAGAGAGTGGAAAATATAGCCGATACAGCAGTTTTAGTGAGAGCCTTGGATAAGTTTCATAGAAGATTACAAGCTATAAATATGTTGTGTGACGAAACAGACTTTACAAGGTAGGAAAAATAACATTTTTCATATAAAACTTGATAAAAAAACGAAAAAATTAATGATACATCAAAATATATCATCTTATTTATCAGAATAGGTACAGAGATTATTATCAGTGCAGGTAGAAAACAATGTCGTAATCATTTAGATAGTTTGAAACAACACTTGAGCGAATCGCTTGTTAAAGTAAGGCAAATATTGGCAGCAAAAGTGTCTCAAGAAGGAGACGGTAGCTTGGCAGAACTTGAGGCATTGCTCGTCATGCCTACCATTGAGAAAGTTAAAGGAGTTTTACAAGATTTATTGGTTTGTTTTTTTATTCTAAATAATATTATCATCGTACGATACGAACACGATCGAAAGAGAAATATGATTTCAGGTCTTTCTACAACCAGATCTGTCGTTTAATTTAAAGACGCAATTTCTCCAAAACTTTAGCGTGGACGAAGTTAGAGAAGGACTGATTGTTGGATTTTTACATCATTTAATGGCAACCGCAAGCGGATTCTGTACTGGATCCGATGTTCCAAAATTTCCGCCTACTCTTTTACTTCTATTAAGTAAAATGTGTATCGAATATAAAGAGAATAATATAAAATATTTGGTAGGTCGCGATGGATACATTGAAAGCGAGAGAGATGACATATTGTTAAGAAATGATATCATCTATTTGAATTATAGCTTACAACAACCGACGATTTATTCAATATCGAACAATATACGACGTCTGATAACGCGATTACAATGGATTCGGAGATATGCGAGAATTTTCAGGAAGCTGCACAGAATTTATTAAATCACTACGTTCGCATTCAAGGTTTAGCGGTGTCACAAATGTTACGAAAATCCGTCGAGACCAGAGATTGGCTCCACACAATTGAGCCGAGAACAGTTAGAGCTGTAATGAAAAGAGTTGTGGAAGATGTAACGGTGATCGATACTCAAGTGGCCGCTTTGTACGACGATTCCGACGGTCAAATCGATAGAAGTAGCGATAGTAGTAGGAAAACTCACAGGTAAAAAGTTCAATGTGTAATAAAGAACATTAACAACATCTCTATCGAGATGATCCGTCTATTTTTCAGCGTGAGCGTATCGAGGCATCACTATAGGTCTAGTTGGTCGTCGTATACGCCCAGTCACATAGATTCCTCCTTGGTGACGAATATTCATAAATTATTCTCAGAGCGCATCGAAATATTTTCATCGGTACAATTTAATAAAGCCTCCATCCTCACGGGAATCATCAAAATAAGTTTAAAGGTAAAATACTTTTAGCAGACAGCGTACCGTAATAGAGACAGGTGCTGTCGAGCAGTTACAATGATAAAATAGCACAGCCATTATCCACTTTGCATCGCGAGGATACCGTGTTCTCTTATGTTGCATATGCTGCATACTACGCAACGCGCTTCGTGCGCTATCATCAACGTTACCAAGAATCAATGTTTCATCCGAAACTTGCGATAACGATTCCCTTTGTATTCATAGACTTTCCTGGAATGCGTAAGATTACGAACATTCAGTAAATACGGACTGCAGCAAATTCAAGTAGATACTCATTATTTACAGCTATATTTGTGGAGATTCGTCTCCGATGAAAAGTAAGTAAACGATATAATTGTTCGCACAACCATACAATAACCAATTATTTTTATATGAAATTAATTTTTATTCGAATTTTGTTCGAAGCGTCGTTCACTTTTTGCTGGACGAAATACTTGGAAGCGCTGTTCATAGGTGTTTAGAACCAGTTTTAATGGAACCAAGTGTCGTCGACATTATATGCGAAAGAGGATAAACTTGTGATTGACTTAAATCATACTATTATCGTTAGCCGTATAGAATACCTACCGTGTATATTATTGTATATAATTCGTATGCGGATGTTTTAACTATCGATAGTGTACATTCCATGAATAAAGTTTACGGTAAGAGCTAAGAAAAAATCGTAGCGTTAAAGTACTACAACTTAAATAATACGATGTACGGCTTACATTTTTGTCTTCCTTTCTCCATCGATTCGATGGATCGATCATTCGTCTCCTTTTCTTTGCCCTCCCCACCTATACGAGATAAAATAAACTCATCAAAGTCTTAGCATGCTATAAGAAGCAGGGTCAAATGATTCTAATAAGTCTTAATTCTCTACTACATTCTGCGCTTTTGAAGTTTATTACCGAATAAATTGAATCGATCGTTTCTTTTCTGTTTACATCGGCACATGGTTTTCTACACTTTGACGAATGAAAATGCTCTAAAAATACTCTACATACATGCATACATCAAATAGAGAGAGAGAGAGAGAGAGAGAGAGAAAAGAGGAATTAAAGTTGAGAGTTGTCGAAAATAAAAATCGAATACTGTTATCGTAACGTAGTTACGAGTAGGTAATCGTCGACGATTCCCGTCTATCCAACGCACAAAAGTGCAAAGAATAAATGGGACAAGAGCTTGTAACGTGTATGGGGTTCTGCCGTACCCCCTTGGCAGTGGCTCGAGTTAATTCGAACTTCCTCTCGTTGGATGAGATTCATTCTCCGAGTATCCGGCGTAGGCCTACGCACAGCATTCTACCCAATTTAATAAACTCTTCTAAATTACTCGGGCCGGGGCCGAGCTGTTCCCTCGCTCAATCATGAATTTCCCTGGAAATCCACGGAAAATTCACTAAATTCACAAAATTTACACTCAGACCGCCTGTGAATTGAATCTTGTCTTGGACTCTTGTCGGCGTTTGATTTAAAAATTTACATTACATTTACAATTACACTTGGTCCTTCCGAATGTTGAACGATTTAGTAAAAAAAGATCGGTTCACGCGATCGTTTAATTGGTAAACGCTATCATGATATGCAAGTTGTGATCATCTATTTTAGGTATCTCTGAACAAAAACTCGAATATACGTGTATGTATATTCTTGATGTCCAGAAAAGCAATATCATCGCTAGAGGCATATGTGGCACACGTGATCTCAGAAAACACCTGTGCACGTGTGACTTTTGTACACTACGAAAAGCTGTACGTTCCAATGGCACGCTCATTCCAACTGAAACCGTTGCCGCACAGATATTGACGATCCTCGAAATAAATCGTACGGGCTCCGTACCAAAGATATTTCTTCGAAAAACGATCTACAAGGAAATATCATCGAGAAACGGTCGGGTGTTCTCCGAGAGTATCGAAACATTTTCGAACGACGAGTATCGAAGACGTGTTCCGTTCAACATATGCGAAGGTTCGAAATTGAAGAAAATCAACCCGTTCGTCTCAACAACAATCAAGTAACAAAGTAACGATTATTCGTTTCTACAAACTTTAAATTCAAATTTAAGAGAAAAATGCTAGAATGTCGAATATGGTATAATCATCATGTATCGTAATCGTTTTCGCAGGTATGTTTGTTTGCGTCTTTCTAACCGTGAATTTAACAAAGACCCAAGAAGAAAGTGTTACCAAATCGATTCACGTTTCTTTTACTTGCATAGACCTCACGGAAACGGAGGGTATCCTAATATAATAGATGCCTAAATTGACGACGACGCGCCATCGCGACGAAAGAAAAGATCACGGAACAGAACAGAGAGAATACATCGAAAGATAAAGATGCCAGTACACTGGCCTACTACCTACAGCCCTTTGGCGTAGATTGCGTTAAATCGATCAAATGGACCCGCATGAGAAAATGGACCATGGACGTATTCACGAGACAACGATGGCAACGTTTATCACGAAATGACCAAACTATTTCGATGCGCAGGCTACTCTAACGGTCGTGTATCGTGTATCGTGAATCGGTGGATCGGTGGATCGGTGAATCGGTGGATCGGTGGATCGTGGATCGTGGATCGTGGGCTGTACTGTGAAGCGCATTCGGTGGCATAGGGGAGCGCTGCGCTGCATGCACGCATTAATCAACGAGCTGTCCTTTTCCTCCATTAAACTCTGTAGCTGTACGACCAGCGTCATTCTTTGTCAATTTGCACGGCGGACCTCCTCGCGGGTCCTTCGACCAATTATTTCTTTGACGAACGACAATGTTTCCATCCTCGTTGTTTGGTAATCGTTGCCGCTGGTACATAGATATGTCAGTCCCTGACCATAAAAAAACGACCGAAAATGTTGAACGTCGGCGTCGGTGATTCACGCGACGACCAACCCACTACTTACAATTACTTTTCACTGATAAATCTATTTTAGATACTTTGTCTTGTGTGCTTCTTGTACGCAGCTTGCATACGCGATAATATTTACACTGGTATAATCGCAGAGGTCAAGGTATGTATGTACACGTACATCGATGTCTTATCGTAGGCCGTTCTCAAATTGTTCAATTATCAGGGCGCATATTTTAAAAACAGACTATCCCATCCTCCTTGACAAACCATTATACGATTACGATTACTTAATCAAATATAGTATTTAGTAACAAACGATTCGATATATTTGATCCAAGACGAGTTATCAATGTTCGGGACATGGGGCATATTACCTACCTTTCGACACTCTCTATGCCGACAATTTGTCCTATTAATTAATTTACGATTTACATATCTACATATACCGATATTATTCTATTCGAAAATGAAAATAACTATGTATCGCGTCCATTTTATCAGACAAAGCAAACGAAACTTGAGTTTAACGAAGATATTTTGGTTTGTGACCGTAACAATGGGCGGAAAAGACACACGCTCGTTGCTACGCTTGCAAATTAAACTATCTACATACATACACACATATACGACGACTTTTCTCTAAAGAACGATAAAAATGGCTCTGTTGTAGTATGGATTTCAAAGCTAAATCCGATAGAAAATTGACACAAGAAGAGATAAAGAGAACGCCTATGGAAAATTGGAACTTTAGTCTCACCGAGACCTACCTACATATATATTTCGGGTCAGATTTCGAATACCGCAGTCAGTAATGAATCGTTGAAGAGAAAAAAACTCGACAAAAGCAACCTCGCCACTTCAATTTACTAATCTGTCTGCTAAGTAGTGGTGCCGTAGGTGATGTTGTAAAAATTCACCTCGGCACGATTACTTTTCACGCAGAGATGGACCGTCTACGATGTCTTCCAGAGGTGAAGAAAATCTAAACGAATACCTTTTCGATATTTTCAGAGGAATATCAGGTAATCAATTTTCTATCGAGAGTCGCATAGCATTACTTTGCGAATGGTTAAAGCTACGTTTAAAGATGGTCTATGACGTCGTGCGTTAAGGGTTAAAATGGATTAAAAATGATTTCTAAGAGATAAATAGGAAAAAAATAGGGGACGAAAAAACAAATTTTCATCTGCAAAATATACATATACATACATAGGTATACATATTACACCGGAAGAAGAATCTTTCGACCAATCAACGTCATGGACCCATTAATCGGCCAGGACCGCGATTCTCAACTACATACATGCAAGTAAACAGATACTACATAGTCCTTCAATTTTCTGGAAATATTTTCGACTTTATTCTGTAACGTATATGTTTAGATTCTAGTTGAACGATGAAAAGTAACATTTTTCGACCGAACGGTTCGATAGTCTCGTAGATTGTTTCGCATTAAAAAAAAAAAACTAGTTTTAGTGCTTGCAGTTCGAAGAAAAGTGCACACGATATTATTTATTAAAACCATGACTGTTCGTATATCGTGATTTTGTTTCCAAGTAGATTTCTGCGTTAGATTTGCGTTTCCGTTTCGAATCAAGCTTCGCAGCATCCATCCAATCAAACATGCGTACATGCACAGATAGGTAGATAGGTAAACGTGTATACGTATAGACGGATAGATCGTCGGTAATTCGATCGGTAAGGGAAGGTTGAAAAGCACTGTCACAGAGAGAATTCTAGCGGATGGTTGTGTCGTCAGCCGCGCGATTCAAATCGTGCGCCAAGGCGAGGCAATAAGGACTTGGACTGCCGGTGGTGAATGGTTTGATAACAAGCGGTGGAAGGAAGGCAGCCAGGCAGGCAGGCAGGCAGACAGACAAGCAGGCAGGCATAGGCATAGGCATAGGCATAGGCATAGGCATAGGCATAGGCATAGGGGAGACGCATATTCCCCGTTGGTTGGCCGACCATTCAGTGACGCGATTCTTCACTGTCCGGGACTGATTTCAATTGGTAAATTGATTTGGAACGATGACGAGAGAGAAAAAAGAAGAGAAAAAGATGGTATGATTTAGATTGGGCGAGAGAGGTTCGGGGGCCATTGCGTGCAAAAGATGACAAAGAAAGAGGCACACACCGCTGGCGTGACAGGGTGTACCGTGAGCGTCACACAGAGCAGAAAACGATGGCGGTGGCAGTAGCAGTGCCTCTCTTGCGAACCGTTAATAGGTACTGAACGCTGGTTGAATGCTTAATGCACCGTGCTTCTAGGATTAAATTGACCAATCATTTCCCGCGCGGCAAGGAGCGGCCAATTACAGCGCTCGTCCGACTATATTAAGCCAATCAAGAACAGTTTATCGCTCAGTCGTCGGTCTGCTGCCGTTCTGTGGGTGTCGTGCGCGTGCGTGCCTCTTTTTCTAACAATTCCAACTCGCGAAACAAACGAATCGTGCGGGAAGAACAAAATAGACTGTTTCATGTTTCTCTGTCACAGTCACAGTCACAGTCACAGTCACACAAATCATTCGCAACGTTCACTGACGATGTTTGATGATTCCAACAACGATCTCGTCAAGTGATAAGGTCGTGTATTCCATCTATCCGCTTTCCAACGCCGCGGATCTTCCCCTAACATTTGAAATCGCTCGATTCGATCGGATCAACATCGCACTATTTCTTTAAAATCAAAGGAATTTCTCGCTGATGGTGCTGTTGGACGAATAAGAAGAAGAGAAAAATTGTGATACGGTTCATCTTTTATACCTAACAAATTTAGTCATTTTCATACCTAGTGCTGACGTATCGTATTTCGATACTCCGTGGTCACGTCTCGTGTGATTGCTGTGGCGTTTCTCTCGTTATCGATTTTTCATTCAACGATCGAATCTCGAGTAAGTTTTCATGTTTTTTTCGAGATTGAATAAACAGTGGAGTGCTGGCGAAAAATCTCAATTTGATTACAAAGTATATGGAATAGTTGTAATTGTACAAAAATAACAGTGGCTTCGAAGAATCAAACGTACAACGTTCTCTTACGTTAACAAGTGCGGAAGAGCGCATCAATGTTGTCCACTAGAGTGTCGAATAGAAGCTAAAGGTCGTGAGGTTTCCTTCGATTGTTCGGTCAGCTCCGGTACATATTTAGTTACACGATCATAGCGAGTGATACGATCGTTTTCACGAATAATTATTTCATATCTTTACTCGTAATTAACAGTTTTAAGCAACAACTTTAAATTTCATAAATAATTGTTGAAAATAACGTCGATATCACGTGTTCGGTAAACCGATAAATAAAAAGAAAATTCTGATACGGTTTAAAAAGTCAACTTGTACATATATGTATAACAGTATGTATTTATGTTTATGTTTATGTTTATTTCCTTGTAAATACGTTCGCGATTGCATAACGTAAGCTAATTTTTAACTTGTATTTGACCGCAAAAAGAAACAATTGGTAATCTTGCAGCGACGAGATACGTACAGAAGTAGTCGGTAGTACGGTAGCACGGTAGCACGGTAGCACGGTAGCATGGTAGCACAGTTGACAGACCACCACAGACCTACAAGAGAAGAGACCGAGCTAGAAATTCTGTTTCCTCGTAACTTGCCAATCAACGTTACAATTTTATTCGGTAGATGTGTTGAAGCGTCGGAAAGAAAGGAGTATAAAACTATTAAGAATCGGCTGATAGTCACGGAAACAATAAACGAAAACTAAGCGAGTATTGCATCGCGTTCTGTATTTCGGCATGAAAAGGAGCATTTACAATTTGAGACGGACATTTTGTTATTCTGAATATGTAACGGCACGCGGTGGCGTGGTTCGACTTTATCACGGCGACTTGTTGACCCCGCGCAAACGATAGCGTCTAAAAGACACGAGAGCCAATTGCCGAACAAACTTTCGACTTCCAAGTTCCAAATTCTGTTTTCTTCGTTTACCGTGTCTTTTGTTATTTTCCTCGTTGACATTGTCAGTGTCGTTTCAAGTTTCGTACGACCGACTGTCACTTTGGCACCATCCACTTTTTCACCCAACGAAAAAATTGTAAACTATCTCGATCTTGATTCGAAGCTCACCACTCTTAAAATAGAACAGGAACTGTGCCACGAAGACCCACCGATATTCTACCCGATGCTCCGTCCATTTTTACCGAACGGCGAGCTTCAATTTTTCTTTCTTTCTTCATTTTTTGGTCGCACAGGAATGTCTCTATTCTGTCGGGTTGCTCTCGAAATTCCTTCTCGTCGCATTCTCTCATCCATCCACAATTTACGCATCGTTGCCTAATAAGTTGACGAGCTATTTCGCGACCACTCAGGGGCAGCCAACATTAACAGAAATTAGCGTTAATTGGTGTGGTCCCCTCTTTCTTTCCCACCCGCATCACCACCCTGATTGCCTGCCCCGACAAACTTGTTCATCTCTGCCGTCTTTCCTTTTTATACGATTCTCTCGTTCCTTTTGCAAGCTCTGTGTTCCTTCTTAAACTATATTCGCGATATATGATATGTAAACTAAAAGACAGCTACGCGTCACCATCCAACCGCGTCTGCAAAACCCTTGTAATGTAACAGCTCTCTATTGGCTAGTAATCCTCTTTGGCTTATGCGGCTTTACATGTTAACCCACGACATTATCGAACATGCTGTTGCATATGTCCAATTTATTGGTAGTTTACAAATACGAACCGTTTCTTCTACGAGTTCTCCGAGAACGTTCGGATCGTGTCGAGAAACTTTCGAACAACTTCATTAAAAAGAAAAACCGATACACACTCTAGTCCGAGTTGTCGACTCACACCATCGCGATGCTTACTATGAATAAGTACGGTGTTTGACCGCGACGCGGTGCGTTGAAGAAGGACGAGTGGCAAAGAAATCAAAGATTCGATTCAAGCCTTCTCTATCTCGTACGCACACGTATATACATACACGTATATCTATAAATGTATATTCGTGACCAGCGACCCCATCGTTCATCGCTCTTCGATCCATTCCATTCCATTCCGTTCCATGAATTTCTTTCTCTTTATCCCTGTAGTACGATAGCAACGTTTCTTTTAATATTCTATTTCTATATGTGTTTCAATCATCAACTTTGTTTCTATTTTGCAGCATAGCGGAAAGAAGAATACAATACCGTCTTGCCGCACACGGTAGTGACGACAAGAGCGTTGTTAACGATGTTAACCGAGAGATTGTCATGTGTCTCGACCAAGTACAAAGAATACGGGTATCGATTGTCGAACCATCCAGCAGGGCTTATTGGTAGCAAACAAATCTACGAAACAGATGCAACAAGTGTGAATGCGAGTCGGCACGTTACATCGTGTTTGAAATTTCTCCAAGAGTGCCGCACAGAGGAAGAAAGAACGACGAAGGCTGCAGTAGTGGGCGACTTTAACGACTTCTCGAGGTCGCATCAATGAGCCACCACTATGTGTCATCGCATCGTTATAATATCGTATACTATTTTCCTATTGTTTTCCAACCAACTCTCCGATTCAAACTTTTCAGTTACTTTCTCGAAAATTGTTAAATATGTATACGAACGAGATAAAGTTAAACCGATTTCTTTTACAGGACGTTATCACGTAAATGGGCTAATTTAATCGACTCGATATTTTTATCCGTCTTGTGAAACGATTTTAGAGCGTACACGCAGCGAATGCGTCACGCGATATCAATGGACAACGGTATTCTTCTGGCGATTATCTAATCTCACGTTAAATTATACCGAAACACGAACGAGTTATATTAACATTTCCTACCATCTCTTTAATTATCTATGTATTACTCGTCACGTATTCGATTCTCTTTCGGTACAACGATGCGTCCCCGTCCCCGTCCCCGTTGTAGCGTGTGTGTTGTTCCTTGTTACTTTCCTTGTATAATAAAATGCTGCTGCATTTGTCGATGTCATTGTATTTTGCAATCTCGGCAAAATGTTAACATTTATTATTCATATAATTCATATAGTTTACGGCGATTAATAATTATGTACGACTGTTGCGTTTTACAGAAATCAAGCATCTGTATAGGAATCGATTAATCGACAGCACACGGAGGGATTACGATGAAATCGGAAATAAATCCTGTCCTGTTCCTAAGTACTAGTGCCGCAGGAGTGATTAGGTTGGGTTAGAAATTACCATATCTCCTGCTGCTCAAGTGCTTATCAATGGGTCGGGACGCACATCTACCTCCTCCTTCCTCAACTTTCTACGCAAAACTCGAATTTCTCGAAATGTATGATAAACTTATATTACGCGTTACTTTCCTAATACTATCGTTTTCATTATCTATTCATCATTGACAGTGTAATTGAAAATATATTTACGTAATAAACGTACCTATATAACGAAATGTACTTCCTCGCATTTTAAATTAAACTTTTCTATTAATTTTTTACAATACGTGATGTACTTATACTGTTATTTATACTTTTACAAAACAAAAAAATTGTAAAAAATAATTTAGTTGGAGGAGCTGGGATTTGAACCCAGGACTTTCAGCATGCGAAGCAGACACTCTACCACTGAGTTACACCCCCGGTTAAACATCCCGCCTTTCATCTTCTACATATGTCCGAGTATGTAATTTCGAGTGTGCACAAAACCAATAACAAAATTACCTCATCTCGTTCTTCGTTAAATACATCCTATTCTAATAATTCCCAATACGTTAAATTAATTTTACCCTCGGCTGTCTAAAGTTCCACGACAATTCTAATGCAAAGTATATGTATACTTTCAATCTCAACACATTCGAAACCAATATATTTATTATAAGATAAACCTTGCTATATATTCGGAAAAATAGTGCAGTTTCGTATCGATCCTCGTGCCTCGTCATTTACTAGATAAGCGTGATATGTTGGAATTGGAATAGACGATTCGTAAGTTGAGTCATCGGTAAGATTTAAAATTTCTAGTATTTTTACAACCCTCCGATAGGAGTTAGGTATTATAGTCACAACCTCCAGTTCCATGATATACCTAATATACGATACATGACAATCGTAACTTTTATTCATGGAAGTTTAAACGATCAATCCCGAATTAAGGGAAACATGACAATCATCGTGACGAGTAACAAGTCTGTGAATAGCATCGAGTAATATTTTCTTAATGAAATGGTCATAGATCCGACGATAACGGAAAATTGACTAAAACATCTGATCCAATGCAATGCGTAATCTCATCGAGACCTTTGGAATATTATTCCGTATTGATCATTGTTCGATTTCAACCCCATTTACTAACGTTCGGTTTTCAAGTAGAGCGTAAAGAGAAACCAGGTAAAAGATAGGTAAAAATTTGAACAATGAGTTCTACTTGTACAAGTGTATTTTATACGATCTATTATATCTATAGAGAGGAATAAATGAGATGTAATACAACGATACAATGATAAGATATACAAATGATAGAAAAAGTCGCGTACATTGAAAGTTGCGGCACATTATAGTTTGGCGCTTTAGTCGCCTCACCATCGTACAAGTTAAACACTAGAGTACCAAGTTCTATTACCGATGTCGCAACGACTCAATCTAACCTCCTGAAAAAAAAACTAGCAGCGTCCTACTCGAAGTAACTGTCAGTTCACGATACGTCACCGTAAAGCGACTTTCTTAAGGTTATTTCGTGCATAACCGCCTCGTTATTAGTTCGCCACTGATAAGGTTCGTTTTCTGTGTATTAATATTTCATAATCGATTACCTTCGATTTGTTTAACTGTTTCCCACTTTCAGCAAATCCACGTCCGCGACACATGGCTAACAGATCGTTGCTAGATGCTAAATCATAAAAATTTGAACGCCGAAACCAAGGATAAGAATAGTGTCTCAATCGAAGAATTGGAACGGTATTCGCCACGGCTTTCACAGAGATGGTTGGATTGGCGGGCGGGGGAGGTCACCTGTATCCCTCGCCCCCAATGCAACCTAATCCAGAGTGTAAGTTTTGATAATGTCAATTTTTGTCTATACGTAAAATTGTTGTACTTGCTCGATGCATGCATATTTTTACAATCATAAATACTTCTTTGTAGTGAGAGAAATGACTGGTATCACTCCGAGTGCACCAACTAGTGCAGACGCTTGTTTAAGTATAGTACATTCGCTAATGTGTCATCGACAAGGTGGCGAAAGCGAAGGATTCAGCAAACGTGCCATCGAGTCTTTGGTGAAGAAGCTTAAAGTGACTATCGTTCCTTCGATCCATTTATTACGCACAAAAATTTCATTGAATTTTATTAAATAAATTGTGCGTTATTTGTTAGGAAAAACGAGATGAATTAGATAGCTTGATAACAGCTATCACTACAAATGGAGCGCATCCCAGTAAATGTGTTACGATACAGAGAACTTTAGACGGTAGGCTACAAGTTGCCGGTCGTAAAGGTTTCCCACACGTTATTTATGCACGAATTTGGAGATGGCCAGATTTACACAAGAACGAATTAAAACATGTCAAATACTGCCAGTTTGCTTTCGACTTAAAATGTGATTCCGTATGCGTAAATCCGTATCACTATGAGAGAGTTGTATCTCCTGGCATAGGTATGTCATTAAACATACTTTTCATTTTCTTTCTTAGCGAGATCATGCGCTTCGTTTCAACTTATTTTTCTTTCGTTATTTCTTTGCAAAGCTTCCGTGAATTCATTTGTAGCACCATAAGTGTAAATGATTTATTGTTGTGGCCTTGGTGTATGATGGAATGGGTTGGTTTCCCCCGCACAGACCCGTTCTTTACAGACCTGTCTGGGCTAACTCTACAATCCGGAGTAGGCGTAGGACCAGGCGGTAGATTGGTCAAAGATGAGTACTCGGTCGGTGGTGGAGGAAACGGAGCAGCTGGAGCAGTAGGATCGGCGATGGATGTTGACGGAGAAATGAATCAAACCATTCAGCATCATCCACCTGCTCAACCTACTTCTTCTAATAACACCCAATCGTCTCAGCAAACTTTTATACCAGGCCTAACACCGCCTAATCCAAGTAAATACAATTTTTCTTTACTTTTTTTTCTTAATAAGTTTAATTATCCGTTATGGGGATTCTGCACTATAACGATCACTTAGGATATGTTACAATTAAATGTATCCATTTTCATTTTTAGTCGTTTCATCGAGTAAGGTTCATATGTTAAATGTTTTAGTAGGACAGTTTCCTGATCTTTCTATATACTATTTCTCTAATTTCTTGTTGGTCAATGTATTTCTGTATACAGAGTGTGTTGATTTATTCAAAAGCAAAGCATGTTTGTGTCTAAGATCCCGTAATATTAAACGATGCACAAAAGCATATAAACGAATAAAGCTTTGCCTTTACAATTATAGACAATCAGATGGTTTTCATTTTCTTTCTTGCAAATTCGTTTTTTTGTTCTCTTCTTTTTTTCCTTAAATACTGCTTCCTCGTTAAATATTACTTTGCGTTGCTAATTCTATTTCATTTTAGCTTTATTCTTTCTTTTCCCTTTTGTTGTTTGGCACAGCTAGTGGTGAGGGTATGTTTGGCAGTAATGGGGGAGGGAATAATGGTGGTAACCCCCACAATAAATTGGACGATAATAATTGCCCCAGGCAAACCTGGATTCCTACACCACATCATCCCACGACACGTAACATTCATCATCGTACGTATATAATAGAGTGCTTCTTTATATTCTTATTGTTTTCTGTCTATTGCTGATTACGTTTTGTTGCTTATCGCTAGTTTCGTCGAAATTTGTAATAGTCTTTAAAATCACAAGCTGTAATTAATTTCAGGCTCTCTCAACAAAATTTGAGTATAATTGATACTTTGTGTTGTGTTGCCTGTATTGTGTACGAGTTACATTTGCTTTTGCAGCAGTAGTACATCCAATGAGTCACACCGTAGGTAGCCAACAGCAGTCGTTGAGTACGTCGAGTGGAGGCAACGGTGCACAAATGCTCAGTCCTTCGCAGGGACAATCTACCGAAGCTTTTTATGGGACTAACACGCCTCCTCAAGATCTCAATCAACCTGCAACCGTTGATGCATTAGCAGCATCGTTGGGTATGTTACTCTGTCTTTGTTCGCAATTTTAACCGCCAAGTATCCGTTAGAATTCATTGTTTGCGTTGATTTCATTAATAGGCGAAGGCCAAAGCTCTCCCGTCTCACCTGTACATATTCATCATCCAAATGGATTTCCAGTCGGTACAGCCGCTTACAATTCAGGAGCGCCACAGTGGACCGGAGCCAATACTCTTACATATACTCAGAGCATGCAACCTCCAGATCATAGACATCTTCATCCTACTTCTTATTGTGAGTTTACGATAAGAAAGATATTTTCTCATTCGGATAACGTGCTAATTTCAATTTTTCCTAGGGGGTGGTCACGGCGGCGAAGTAGGTGGAAACATTGGTGGTTTACTATCTACGCAACCAGCACCTGAATATTGGTGTTCTGTTGGTTATTTTGAATTAGATACTCAAGTAGGCGAAACGTTTAAAGTGAGCAGCGGTTGCCCTACCGTCACTGTCGATGGATACGTTGATCCAAGCGGCGGTAATAGATTTTGTTTAGGAGCATTGAGCAATGTACACAGAACGGAACAAAGTGAAAAAGCACGTCTTCACATAGGTATTATCCACCGTTTTCATTTTTTCCCCATTATCATAAAATTATCAATTATTATACTGCTATTATCTTAATAGGAAAAGGAGTTGTGTTGGATTTAAGGGGCGAAGGAGACGTTTGGTTAAGATGTCAAAGCGAACATAGCGTCTTTGTACAGTCTTATTATTTAGACAGAGAAGCAGGTCGTGCACCCGGTGACGCAGTGCATAAAATTTATCCCTCCGCATATATTAAAGTCTTCGATTTACGACAGTGTCATAAACAAATGAGAGGACAGGCCGCTACTGCTCAGGCTGCAGCTGCAGCACAAGCTGCTGCTGTAGCAGGTCATTTGACGCACGGCGCACCAATTACTAAAAGTACGTACTTTTTCGTTGCTGTTAAAATTCCATTAATACCATTTTAATTTGTCATTATTCATTTTTCAACTCGACGCAGGTCTTAGTGCTGCTGCTGGTATAGGTGTAGATGATCTCCGACGACTTTGTATTTTACGTTTAAGTTTTGTAAAAGGTTGGGGTCCTGATTATCCACGGCAAAGTATAAAAGAAACTCCGTGCTGGATAGAGGTACAAACAATTTCATTTGACTTGCTTATTTGCATTTAAAAATTACCAAGCAATAAACTTTGTTGATTTCGTACAGGTACATTTACATAGAGCCCTTCAATTACTGGATGAAGTTTTACACACTATGCCAATTGATGGTCCACGGGGAATTGAATAATTTTATTTAACTTTGGATAATACATATAATAGAAAAAAAAGACATCACATTATTACAGACTCTGCGTCAAGTGTGCAAAATATATAAAATGCGTACGCGCGCGTATGCGCGATACTGTGTGGTATTGTTACAAATTTTTAGGATAAATCACCAACAAATGAAAACAATGAAAATTTTTAATTGAATAAGAAAAACATAGATACGCGTCGCTTAGAAGTTTCACTGAAATTTTTTATATATTTTACACACATGATTTGCCACGTCGAATGAAATGTGTGCCACGGCCTTGCATTACTGTCGCCGTACAAACGTTATGCAAAGGAAATATTATTTTTCGTTATTGAAAGTTATTTTCTAAGAAGAACGGAGTGCATCTAAAAGAAAATGAGAAAGGTAGGATGAAAGACTTCTATTTTAATAGGCAGTCCGTATCCGAATCAAGAAAAAAAGAAAAATACATTTTCCATGGCATGGCCTGGTGAACTCAGCAGAATGTGTGAGTAAAACGTGATACTTTCGGAAACGTTAATAGTCATAATCTCATTTTTTGAGATTAGCTTTGTAAGATAGATTAACTGACATACATGATCCTACTTAAAAAAAAAAAACAGTGACAAATTTTAAGCTCAATGTTTACGTTGAATGTAACGAACAATGAGAACATCGATTGTCTATGTGTTGTTGTATACAGTAGGAAGGTTCTCTAAGAGCGCAACATGTTTCAAAGTACTGTTAGATGACAACATTAGTACGTAGCATTACGCAATAAATATTCTATAAACCGTTCTACAACTGTATATTATCAAAGGGAAAATACTTGGTAGAATACAGTTGAACGGATATTCTAATAAGAAATTTTTGCATAGTTAAACATTATTGGGAACAAGAATATTAAGACAAGTATATAAAGTATTAGGAAATCGTTTGTTTGTTCTACTACATTTTTGTTAGTTGTACTGGCAGTAGCTTGATACTGTGCTGTTAGAATAACCTTCTTTATTTTCGTTTGTTTTATAATTTACAACCAAAAAGTATCATTAGACAAATACCTGCAATGTTTGGTTAATAATGATATTTCATGTCTTTCTTTTTAACGTTACTTTTCCTTTAAAGACATGAATTGATTCTGTAGTTAGTATTATTATACTTATTAGCGTAGTTGGTGGATGCGAGACAAATTTGAAAGTGCTTGAAATGTAATGGAATTTTGTAGTATTTGAAAAATCAAGGAAGAGCTGTTTTTATCGTAGTGTATCTATATAAATTCAATTGTCTCCCCTCTTATCAACTACCAATGTTGCTACTATTACCATGTAGTACTTGTTGAATAATTATACTTAATGTTTACCAATCATTTTATTATTCTATATTCGTACAAAATATTCTTATATTTGATAATATTATCATACAAAGAAAAAGTTGACCAAATTTTATACCTATTCGTGTACGTATGCATACGAATACGTATGCAACAGATATTATCTTCTTTTGATTTATTTTAGACAAACGAGAAAGTTTTCCGATTGTCTTTATCGATCGATGCACATTTTATAATATTCCAAATTCTTGCTTCTTTGTTGTAACTGAGTAAAGATTATTCAGCTGTTTGTGTTCATGTTATTCTTACATTTCTCTACACTATTCCTAATCATGATAAGTTTCATTGACGCAAAGTCGAGTGAAATTTTGTATCTATAAGCATACCACCTACCATCGCTATAATACCAGTAAAGAATTGATTAATCTCGATTAAGCAAACATTCAGTTATCGTAACGTGTTTTGTTCTTTTCGCTGTGGAAAGTTACGTACCATTTTCTGGGACAAAAACGTGATTGAAAACGTTTAAACATTTAAAAAACAAAACACAATTTAATGGGAAAAACAGCCCAGGCGAAAGGAGCGGTGAATACGAACGTAGAGAAGTTGTACGGTATACTTCTATAGTAAAAATAAAGAATGAATGTGCATTTTTTAACGAATGATAAAACAAAGAGTAACGTTATCGATTAAATGAAATTTTACCACTATTGAATTTTAACAATGAAATACATGGAACATTATTTCCATGGATTTTCTGTCCATACCAAACGAAGGAAGGATATAGAGTTCAAATATGTAAAAGAGAAAAAATCGCGTTTAAGCATACTTTTACCACCAACTTCGCTTTAAAAACATATGTGCCATCATTTTCATACATACCATACACAAAATAACGAACAAGTATAAGAATTTTTATAAATCCTATTTTTTACAAAGCTTATGAATCGCGGATGCAACACATTTGAATTGTGATGTTTCGTTACGTCCTAAATCCATAGATTTTACGGGATCCAGAGCAGAGAAAGAATTTTGTATATCTACAAGTACATACATTAAGCTGAATTAAATGTATGCGAGAACGTGATGTGTATTGCAAAAACCGATGTGTTTAAAATCAATTGTAGCATTCACAAATAATGTAGAAATCATCGATGCACGCATACGAGATAAGAAACTGATACACGAAGTATAATCCAAAGCTCAGAAATTTTATAACAGAAATTATTCTGCAAAGGTGTTCATACGATATTTTATCAATGCCTTCGAACAATAGTTTCGTACATATAACATATATTAGAATTGGTATCAAAGTGCAATAGCTCTGTTTCATGTCAAAGATACCATAGCTGATAGTTGTAAATGAAATGCCTATGTAACTTATGTTAACGATTAAAAAAACCGATAACTGTAATTCAATAAGGGATACTATACTCTCGAATTATTACTGTTTTCTTTCACTTCTATCAAGATATCATTCTAATTATACGGTATAACTTGCTATATAAGAATTTTACCAATTTGCTTAGCGTCAAAATCAATGACGAAGCCTATGCTTCAATCGTTTAACGTAAATTTTCCGCATAATTTTATTATCGAGTGTTTTATATATTGTTGTACAATAGTTTGAACCGAATGAAAAAAATCATTAAATTTATTTGATCTTCTCTAATTGTGTCCTACGACTATTTACCGATCATATTCATTTTGTTTCAATTTTAGGTGTACGTATTAACGATGTATTCTAGTGTGAGGCTTCGTTGTTAATTACAGATCTTGAGACTCAAAGACTTGTTCTTAAATTTTAGGAACCTATACACGAGCACGTACAATAAATATCAGAATAGAATTATATATTTACCATTACTACTCGTACGAATTAAAGGATTACCTGTAAAGTAACATATTAATACATTTTCTACTAAACTTTTGCAGAAGTTACCGGCCACAGTTACACGAACATAAATTGTTTCATAACATACATCCGTTTAAATGTTTGGAATTATCGAGGCTTTTGAAATTTCATTCAATAACAGCAATCTAATTGTCATCGATATTTCCTTTCAAATGAATTACGTATGGTTAAACCAAAGATATATTCCGATGATACGATATTACATACAACATCACGATACATAACAAATACGTACATACGAAATGCAAAAGTCGTGTTCTCACAAATATGTGGCGATACATAATGCAAATGGAGTTGCGTGTAAACATTTTTTAACCGTACATTCAAACGTAATGTCGTTCAGGTGTAAATTTTCATGGTGTTGGAGTTGCATCGTCTTGGTGAATACCACAAAACTAAGAATGATACAAACTGTAAATCGATACCTGTGGTTATCACCTACACAGGTAAATTATACATGATTTCTATACATAAGACATTCTGCACATTTGTAAAATTGTACAACGACAACCCATCGTTACATTGTTGAAATAAAATTTGTCTATGTACGCGCTGAATATAAACTGTAACGACATGATTAAACAGGTTACGAAATTAGAAATAGTTAACCCAATACCAGTGCACTGTATTGTAAAGCACATATGGTAACAACAATTCGAATGGATGCGTTTACAAACTTTTTGTTATTAAATATTAAAAATTCATTACATAACATACGATCATTTTCAATAAACATGTTCTGCAAATTGAAAAGGTTTATCAGATTTAATTTTACGACAGAGAAGTAAATATACAGATACACGTGCGATAAATTTCTGTTTATTAAAAAAGAAAATGCTACTTAATATGTAGGTAATTTATTATATAATTTACATAGTACTATCATCGTTTTTTCTAGTTTTTTCATGATCTCCCGTATAAAAGCTCCCATCAAGATTAATCGCAGCATTGTGATCTATAACAGTTTTCAATGCATTTTCAATTGCTTCATCTATATTATCAAGTGTAATAAATGTTTTAACTTCTTCTTTCGCCTTTTTGATTTCTGCATCTACCGTAGCTTGAGTGATCAAGTCTCTTTCCTTTTTCGCGGCTAATTTTTCTATAATTTCTTTTACGCGTGCTTCTCTACTTTGCGCTAGCCTCTGTTCTCGTTCGACGGATATTTGTGCGTTCCATTCTTCGTTTATTTTGCTACATTTCAGAAAATCTTCATCTGCCATTTTTTTTACAGAAACAGGATCGAATTCTACCTTATTGTCTCTTTCCCTCGTAATGAAATAATGCCTGAAATGAAAAAAATGTCACATTGTCTTAAATATATCGCAGTTTTATCATATAGGTATTAAATTGTACGTTAATCACATACCGCAGAGATCTCATATACGTTTTGTAATGATAGTTTATATATTTAAGTTCTTCTGCTTCTTCCGTAGGTATGACTGGTTTTACCGGAATTCTAAACAATTTTGATTTTGCTGTAGGTAACCACATCGGCTTTCTCTTCCATCTTACACATTGAATGTAAGGTCCGTTTAATATTAAGTGATCGTGGGCGCTTACATTTCGTATCATTAATACGCTACTAGCCATTATCGTCGACATTCGTATCATTGTTTTTAATTTACGTAACAATTTATGTGTTTTGAATAATGTACAAGATTGTATTACATCGTAAAATACGTGTTCATAATACAACGACCACTCGGACTCAACAGCATTGAACAGTTGGTACCAGTTGTTACCGTCAGTTACCGTATTACTGTATAGTTCTAAATTTCTATGTTGTTCTACATACACATGTCCGTAGTTACGCCTTACGCCTATTTCAGCTGACTTCAGCTTAGTCGCTTACGCTTATGGCTCTGTCGAAGGTTTGGCTTACATGAGTTTACATGGGTTTGCACAAGTTTACACTTTACTAGGTGTATAGAACTCAAAACAAAGATGGTAAATCAATCGGGAATCCCTCTAGCGGACAGAATCATTCAGTCGTCCCTAATTCATGGATGGTTATTTTTTCTTTTTCATAAAGGCATAAATAAGATATATGACTGCTTTTATGTACATATGTAATGCAGCAATAATTATCGACCCTTTAGTTGCGCCATCTAGAAGCAATAGCGAGAACCATTTTCACTACAAAC